TGATGATGATGATGATGATGATGATGATGATGATGATGATGATGATGATGATGGTGGTGGTGGTCATGGTGGTGGGGGCGGAGGTGGTTCGTACGGGTGGTGGTAGTTGTTGTAGGCCTAGTGATTGGGTTAATGATAATGATAGGAGAAAAGCAAGATCAGAATATAGGCTCAAATCCCCATCCCTTACTCTTTATTAGTCTCAAGTTAGTACAGGATTTAATAAATGAAAGACGTCTTACATCCCCCACCCCCACCCCCAACCCGCCCGCCAGTTGAGAAGCCGATCAAAGTGAAATAAAGGCTCAGAGTATAGCAGCAGGACCCCTTCGCTTTTCCCATTTGACGTTACCCTGCATCCCCCAAAAAGAAAAGACCTTCCGCCGAAAGTATGTACGTATGTAAATTGAAGTTTACATCATGAAATAAAACTTTTATTTTCTTTAAACGCCTTTGCCGTTTTATTATTAGATAGATCTAAGTGCGGTCAAAAATTCATGGTGCAATTTGTCCAAAAACAGAGTCAATGTCACCCATACTTTGCACAGCAGTTTGTATCAATTTGTCTAAAATTAATCATATTTTTCAACAACAACTGAGGTTAGATTTAACAAATTTTCGTCATCAATTTAAAATACTACACGTCTCCGTCACACGGTAAATGGGATTGTTCACAGCACTTATCCCGCTCCTCGCACACTTTTTTTGTATACGCATGGCCCACCTGCTAACCAATGACACTTTTAAGGGGCAAAACGTGTTGCAAGAAATAGGCTACATTTTATATTGAACACCTTTTTGCACTTAAGGTTCTCAAAACGCTCGTTCAATAAGCATAATGTCACGTTTAGAAAAAAATGACGGACTTGCTTTTAAAAGTGGCATTGTCCCAGCTGTAAACCTATTGTAATCTGTAGGACTGGGATTTTTGTTATTAGTAATTATCAATAACTTTTCTAGAATACAGCTAACAGGGGCTTACAAAAATATTGATCTGTTAAGACAAATTTATGCAAGTCGAGCAAAAGCTGGAGAGTCTATGTTCAATAGTTTATAGTGCGGTCAAAAATTCGTGGCGCAACTTAATAGTAGTAGTAGTATGAAGTACGGTCAGGCTAGTCGCCTATCAGCCGTTCGTTGCTTTCGTTGCTTATTCCTTCCTGCACGTTGTTTTCACACTCTGGTATCTGTAGGTTAGTGCTCATGGCACATGGATCTGGCAGTTTGAAACCAATCTAGG